GGCGGCCCCGGGGGGCGCACCTGGAGCCCAGCGGCCGCCTGAGCCTTCACTCCCGGCTGCTCTCTGGAAGAGGAGCCGGGGGGGAAATTCTTGTTAACAATTGCCGTCTGGTAAATAAGCCAACGAAAGCGTGGCTTGCATACCGCAGGTGAGGACTGCTGTTAATAAACATGGAAAAAAAATAATACACCTTTCTTACCACACCACAAGCCTCTCAGACCTCCCCCACGGTGCCTGAGCGGCTACTTTGAAAATTCACCTCCTGGCCCGTGCCGGGGTGTGGCCTTCAGACGCCATTTCCAGCGTGCGTTACAAGTCTTCAGCCTGTAGCTCTGTGATTAGAAAATGCATCCGGTGACTGTAAAGGGTCACTTGCATTTTGAGCACAGTCCAAACCCATGCTAACAGATGCATCTTTAGTTAATTCCTCTGAAAAACTGGATGAGAGATTAACGACTACAGAAATAACATCTCCCTACGAGATCACGCAGCCTAGCGTAAACCCGGGATGGCAACAAAACAGCAAGGGAAAGGAGTACAGCCCCCACGCTCACACTTATTTCTAAGGTTACTGATTCCCAAGGGTCAAAGCACTGATTTAAAATCTTTACAACACTGAGATCTTCCATGTCTCTAAAGAGCCATCACTGTTAACTTCTTAAAGAAACATCTAACAGTGCTCCCTGTATGTCCCAAATACTTTTAACCAGAAAGTGCGCTGCAAGTGGTTTTGCTCACTTCCTTGAACGTTTCTCCTATTACCTTAATAAATTCTTCACACCCAGATAAAATAACTTCCTCACATGCACAAAAGTTGTCAATACAAGGCAAAAGAGCAAACTATGAAAATCAAAAGCTCAATCCACTTAGATCTTGCACTAAAACACTGATTGAGCTGAATAGCTGGTAAAAATTAAGGATATAAAGCACATTCTTCTCATTTACACGATGGAGGATGAATAAATCCCTGCAGTTACTACTGGGCTGAAAAGTGCTCACTCTGTGCTACCTGCACATATGCATAAAGGCCACTCACTACTCAAGGATGAGCCGGCTTGATATTTCAAGCATCCATATAATCTTATGTAAGAGAAACTACACTCTGACAATGGATTTTCAAAATTTTCAAAATGTTTTTTCAGAGTTTATACTAAAATATATATTAATTTCTCACTTCATGATCTCATCACACAACTCCTTATTCCAGTATTCCAGCATTTCCATCCATCAGGTGTTAGCTGTGTTCTTACCCTTCAGCTACAAATTTGTCAGGCAGAGACGGTAGCTCCTTCCCTCCTGTGTACGAAGGAACTGTACACACACTGGGCATGTGGAAGCAGGGAAGGCACCATTTTCTGTATGGTGGTTCTTCACTTTCTTCTCCTTTTGCTATGGATCAGGCCAACTCCTGACATCCTTGTACTCTTCTACCTGTAACCTACACTTAACAACACTTCCTCACCAATGATTAATTCACATAGACAATAAAACACTGTCCCACTGAAGGGTCAAAACTGGGGAGTTAAGATTTCACACAAACCAGTCCACTTCTCAAATACTTTTTTTTTGTTGGTAAAACACATAAGTAATCTCTTAACAGCTGTCCCCAAAAACTTTTGTCATATTATTAATATAAAGCGACACTTAACTCCAACTAGAAATTTTCCAGTGTGTGTATAGAAATACTTAATTTTTATGATGCTTTTTTACAAGGTAGCAAATGTTGATATTTATATTTATAAACTGCTGCAGTAGAGCATATAATCTGACAAAAGACTTCTTATGAGCACTTTTATTTTCTCTTTCTATGTTTTCCATCTGCTACAGAATTTCACAGAATGGTTTTGGTTGGAAGGGACCTTTGGAGGTCCCCTCTTCACAGCAACTGCATGTTGCTGGCTCATGTTCAACTTGGTGACCACCAGGAGCCCCACATCCTCCTCCACGAAACTGCTTTCCAGATGGGTGGCTACCAGCACATACTGGCGCATGGGATTACCTCTTCCCAGTTGCAGGACTTTGCACTTGTTGAACTTCATGAGGTTCCTGTCAGCCTTTCTCCAGGGCGTTGAGGGGACACTCATGACTTATTTATCAGCCACTCCTCCCAGTTTGGTGTCACTGGCAAACTCAATGAGGCTACTCTCTGGCCCATTATCCAGATCACTAAGATGCTAAAGATGATCAGACCTAGTATCAACCTGAGGTATGCTGCTAGTTACTGGCCTCCAACTCAACTTTGTGCCACTGATCACCACGTTCTGGTCCTGGCTATTCAGCCTGTTTCAATCCACTTCACCGTCTGCTCATCCAGCCCATACTTCAACAGGTTCTCTATTAGGAGCTTATAGGTGGCAGTCTCAAAAAACCTTACTGAAGTCTGGGCAGCAATATTCACTGCTCTCCCCTCATCTACGAGAACAGTTGCTTCGTCACAGAAGTTTATCAAATTGGTCATGTGACTTCCCCTTGATCAATCCATGCTCACTATTTCCAACCTTCTTGTCCTTCAAGTGCCTTGATTTGTTTCCAGGATTAGTTGATATTCAAGACTCCAAAATCATAGATAAAATTTAGCAAGACTCAACACCCACCCCCCAAAAAACCCCTAACTATTAAGTGCATTTTTCAAGTAATTCTTAACCTTTTTGTTTAGCCTCCCTCATAATAGATATATAATTTTTAATCTTTTAATTTTTAAAACAACTGAAGAGTTTAACTGTCACAGTAACCAAGCTCATCTCAGGGTACAAAATTGCCCCATTATTTCAGACTTCAACACCTACCCAATACAAATTAAAAATGATTGCTATGCTTTAATTATTAATAAGCTTATTATTATGATTATAATTACTATAATACTTAAAAGGCTTTTCTTTCCTTCCTCCAATTTCCTCAACATAAATTGATCAAAATCATGACCACATAACATGAATATTTCTGCTATCTGACAAAAGCATCATTATGAGAAGAGGATGTTACGGGGTAGAGTACATGAGCAGCCATGTTACTCATTGTGTAACAACCCAAAAGGCAAAGCAGGTAACGGAGGGAAAACCAGGAAGATTTAATACAAAGAGCAGTATATTTCAAACAAAAGGGAAAGCTGGCATGGAATTCTCCCCCATGAAATAAATTATCAATCAAGTAATTTATAAGTATCCCATCAGGAAACCACAGGGAAAACATTGCTTTAAGTGTGTGCAATACAGGAGTGTTTTGGGTTTTATCTCATGCTTGATTTGTATTCAAATGTTTTTCTTATGACAGCAGAATAACTAGAAGAGAAGTGTGGAGAGTCCTTTTACTGTCAGTTTATTTAGTTTGGAGAGATAATGAGTAACCCACACAGAGAAAAATCTTTTGCTACTACATATGACCATCCTAGGAAGCTCTGTAGGATGTACTGGCAAACCTTGCTGAGGGTACAGGTCTCTAGTAAGCAGGCTGAAAACATTTTCCCCTAGAACTACTTCTGTATTCTATACTGAAACATCCTGCATGTTCTCAGGAAGTTACTCAGATGGAATTAAGTTAATTATAGGCACAGGAAAATATCTGCTGGCTCTGGGTTGTTCTTAATCAGAACTTTTTCTGTTCAGTACCTTAAAAGAGCAGAGTTAAAATATTCCATAATCACATTCACCAACAAGTCTTAGCATCTTGAAGTTGTAGCAGAAAACTGTGCTTTCTCTTAATCTGTTCAAATGAGTTTTTCACTAAATGCAGTAATAAACGTTTTTAGTTCATGAAGATACTTTTCACACACCTGACTCACTCCATTCTGAATGCATATTTGAGAGGGAAATTTTCTCTGCAGTCTCTAACTTTTGGTTGAAACAACAAAAATCACCGGAGATTCTAAAACTGCATCTGTGAATGTTGCAGTGAAGTGGCAAGTATTTTTTATTTCCCACAGTTCAGCTAACAAAGGGGATTCTAAACACACATGGCTTAAAAAACCCCGTTACTACAGTAGGTCCTTTCAGGAGACCAACACACACATTTCAGTATTCCTCTAGGGTGGGACTTTTACAGAAACAGATCTTTGTAAAGATGTCTTCACAAAGTCACAGTTGCTTTACAAGGTTTGTACTGAAGCAAAATTAATACCAGATCAAGAGAAGAGAGAAAATGATTCACTATGAAACAGGAAGTGATGGAAACAGCCCTTGTTTAGTAATGATATATAATATCCCTTCTTTTCTGTAACAATCTAAACACACATGGTAAAGAACCTGTAGGTCAGGGAGTCTCAGCCTGCTTTAACATACTGTCACCAGCTAACAGAAACTGTCATACTGGAGTCCAAATAGTCAGGTTTCAAAAAGAAAAAGAAAAGCACAAATATGGTACACATTTAGTCCTGCTTCTTTGGAATCACCAATTAAAGCAGCAGCTTGTTCAAAACATCGATTTTAATTTGTTATGAGTTTTCCATTTCTCCAGCTAAAAAAACCCAACTTGTCATATTCAGAAGTAGTGCACATGAGGTAGCAAGATGCTTTGAGATGGAAGGTTTAAAATTGTACAAGTACCAAGTGACAAGAGGCTAGACTTAAAATTCTATTTACCAGTTCTACTGAAATAATTACATACATATATTTATATATAAGCTCTAGAAAACAAATTAAATAAGAGCAAAACAAATTAAATAAGAGCAATTTTGAAGCAGAACACTCCAAATAATAGTGTAAATGCATGCACTGTAATGTTTAGTAATCTAAAAGGAGAAACTGCACTAAAATAATTTTGTTCTTTAGCACACATTAAAGACACCAAAAAAAAAAATCAGAAAAACTAGTGCACTTTTTTTAAACTACAGTTTAATCAGATTTAAAGACACAAATTAGAAAAAAACATTTATAGGCAAGTTAAAAACACCTTTAAAACATAACAGCATGCTGCTTCTGCAGCACTGCTGAGACAAATTAGAAATAAGTAATTATTAAAATATCACAATCACAGTGTAACTAACAGTGGTATTTTAATTTTACCATACACCAACACTTAGTTTATGGATCTGTTGAAAAATAACACTTTTTAAAAAATATATATTTTAGAATAATAAAAATGAAATTCACCGACAATGCATTATAATCTGAACCAGGAAAGGCAAATTTAGGAATACTGTAGCTATCCACTTTTAGGGGTGTTTTCTCACCATAACATATGGGTAGTTGGAGGCATAACTACTTCTGCATTGAGGTAAAACTATTCCCTTGAATGTGTAACCAAGGCAGGAAAGAACAAAGTTCCATATTTTAAATTCTTAAATTGAATAACTTATTACAACATCTTTGAATAATGCTATATTTACCCATCTTACATTATTTTTCATTCAATACATTTTGAATGTTCTCCTCTAAGTGATCTAGAACACATCTGAGGTCTGGGATTTAAGAGTAACTACCTAATTACTATTGTATTGTTTTGACACCTTTGTCACAGTAAGACACATCAGAATATTCTTCATAGAAATAGTCAACATCACTGGACAAAAGAAGTTACAAAGAAAAGATGTAAAGAGAACTGATAAACACATAGAAAGGCAAAGTATGCATAGGCAAATACTCCTTAATTTATTGTGACAAAAGATTGTTGCACCTTTAATATGTAGTGTTGCACTATTCTGATTACCGGTCTCTAGGCACCCTGTTTCTCTGGTTTTTGTTGCAGATTACATCGTCACAGTTTGGAAGCCTAATCCAACTAGAGCAGGGACCACAGCTATCTGTTCATATGACATAGTGTAGCGAAACGAAAATCCAGCTTGGGGTATTTCTCCCTCAGAGAACAAAAGGAAGGAAGAAGAGGAAGAAGATTGTGCAGAGGTCACTTTTGCCAAGAGGTTCGTTTGGAATAAGGTGCTGGACTGAGTCATTATTAATGTAAAAAGTTTCCTCTGAAAGTGACCCTAACTCAGATCACAGTCATACATCTGAAATCAAATTCTGTATTCATAGCCTGCAGCAGAATATCCTGTAAGGGTTGGTTTTGCAACAGAGTGAAAGAAGCCCTTCACTTTCCATGTAAAGTGTGACCAACAGATTCTATTTTCTCTTTAGGAAGCAGAAAGCTTAGTACTCTGAGAACACAGCCCAGCAGCCTTCACAGCAGATGTGGTGTACAACTGGAGGGCTCAACACTAGTCTCACGTAAATATTGATATGGCCTATTTTAAGTATATTTATGCACACTATATGTAACTACAGCCTGTCAACTCATAAATTTTTCACAACGGATACACACATGAATTAAGAAAAACTAAAAATGCATAAAACCAAAACCAGGCGCAGGTCACTGGACACACAGGTAATGCACAGAAGATGAAGTGGCAGAATTTGCTTTTGCACATTTGTCTAGCAAAATTATGTTCTAAATATTTAATGGGATGAAAATTAATACAGTTGATAGTTAGGTTTTGTAAAAAACATAAAAAGCTCATCTCAAACCAAGTTTTTAAGAATTTTTTTTTCCATTTAGTTCTGACCATAATAAGCAACTGTTGCAATACTTGCAGCTGTAACCTTGCAGGGTGACTTTGTGGATGCCTAGACTTTATGGTGTTTGTAAAATGTCTAGGTTAAGACAGCAAACACATAAAAAAATCCAGGTAGATGTAGCATAGAGCCACTGCATCCTGGGTCACAAGCTCTTCTGTCATGCTTTGCAGGTAGCGTTAGCTCCCCTCAGGAACTCTGTGGCAAACCCTCCTGGCCACTGATGGGACATGTTCTTACCAGACTTATTCACAGCCAGCTTTTCCACCATGACTATGAAGAAGACTGACAGCGCAAACTAGCTTAGCTCCAGACAGATCTGGTAATATAATGAGAGCAGGCTCAATTCACTAGAGTATCTGCTTCGATACTTATTCAGCATAACATTTAAATACTTAAGTACTTATAACCCATTGATTTTTTTAAACAGGAAATTTAAAAATACTCCCAAATGCTGTTCAGAGTATTACTAGACCTAAATTAATACATAAAGGGTAATCATGTAGTGAAATGCTATGATGAATCAGCATAGAACCAATGTATAATTTTTTTTATACATAGAGTCTGCATCATATTAAAATATTTGAATTTATTTCCATTTGTTTTTCTAACACTGATCACTTTTCAACATAAATGGCAATATTTCCAAATTTTCATTGAAAGCGAACAATTCTCAAACCTTATTTCAGAATTCGATGAGAATTACAAAGTGAAAGACTTAAGGTTAAGGGAAGCAAAAGCCTAAATTACTGTAACTTGTGCTTTTAAATTTCTTTATCATTCAGGGCCAACTTACAAAGTTGAGCATGTGAAAGTTTACATGTAAGCAAGTGACACATTTGCAGGCAAATGTGAGGACATATTTCACCATGTATTTAAACAAATCGTCAACAATATGCTTGCAAAGCTTCTGAGAAAAAAAATCCAGACTCTGTTAAAATTACTTTTGATATTAATTTGACAGGAGGTGAGGCTCTCATAAAGGTCTCCTTTGTATCAGAGAACTCTTTCCCACTAACCAAATCAATGCCATCAAGAGAGGCACAACTACCTAGTATACATCCTATCATAAAAGCATAGCATTTATATTCATGTTACTTATTCCCACAAGGGAAACAGAACAAGTTATTTAAGTGTAAAATTTTTCTAATAAATAATATACTATACTGGGAAAACTCACACCACAAGTCAGTGTACAGCAGGGAATACACAAAGACCTCTTCGTAAAGTCTTCTCACTAAAGTATCATTTGTTATCAAGAGCACACTGAAATGCATACCAATATTTTTACATGGTAATATATTTTTAAATATGTCACCTATTACTGAAATCTTGTCTACATGTCAACTTAAGGAATGGCCATGGAAAAATAAGTTTCCTGAATAAGAAGGGCATATCTGTAACTGTAAAGCTAACGAAGCCTTCCCGATTACAACAGTAGTAGGCACCACTGAAAGTATTATTTAAATATATAATATATATCTCTTTCATTAATACAGAATCATAAAGGTTAAAAAGGTTAAGCAAGCAAATAGTTACTGTCAGGGTGACTACATTTACTAACATTAACTCATTAAGTGCTTGAATGAATTGTTCACAACAGGCAAGTATCTGCAAAGCACCATAAAATTGTGAATGATATGTTGTATTTACTTTTTTTAGTGTGCTGATCTGCAATACAGAAAACACATAACTAATGTATATCCAAAAAGTTAAAAAGTGAAAGAATACTTAAAAGTATGTTTCCTTCATTCCCAAAGATTTCTAGGAAATTTACTTTCTACTGTTTTTCTCAGCAAGGACAATAGTAAATCACTGCCATCCTTTCAAATTCAGTATTATAAAGTGATGGGATGTAAAACCTAAAAATTATCTAAAGCATCAGGGCTGGCCACTCTTGACTTTCTGACCAAATGGATAAAAAGAATGCAGTGTGATAGCAAGGCAGAAAACTAGTAAAGCAGAGGGAAAACAACAATGACAAAACCCCAGTTTGACTAAAATCAGTGTGCTGCCATTAAAACAAAAAACCTCTTTCCACAGTCCCCAAGAGGATTCATTTACATGAAGAGCAGATTTTGGTTCAAAGTACTTTTATATTTAGCAATGACATGTAAAGGGTAAATTCTAGGACACTACACTTAAAGATAAATTTTGTGCAGAACTAGTAAGTCGTCATATTTTTCTTGTGTTGCAATTATTTAAGGGTTTCAAACCATGAAGAAAAAAGTCATTACATTGCACACAGACACCAGTCACATCCAATGGCTCATACCTTGCCACTTGTGCTCAAGTAAAGCACGTACATATTTTCTTTAGCTGTTTTAACTTCCCCATATACAAAAGGTCTGCACAAAACTGTACCTGTGAATTCACTCACACCGCAGTACCAGTCTTCACTATCCTAAACCTGCTTATTTTCTGGGAGTGTTTACATGATGAAGAACTAGTAAGCTTGCATTGCACATATGGGCACACATGCCAAAACAAGAAAACAAGAGTACCAGAACATTAATGGAGAAGATGGCACGTTACATGTTGTACTGGCATCCAAAAGTGCTGCTTTGGGCAGATTCATAGACTGCACCAACAAGATTAATTTAAGTTCAACACAACAAATGCTGAAAGAATCAACCCTAATTCTACTCACCCACCCAGAAATGTGCAATGTTAATTTGTTATTTTGTGTAAATGTCCCTTCAAGAACAGAAGGTGGAAAAACATCTTTCCTGATTGTGTTATCTAATAAGGGTAATCAAACAAAGAAACCAGTGTGCCCTTACTCATAAACAACAGAAAGAACCATAATGCCATTTCTAACAGGCATATGACAACCACGACCCCATGTAAGGGGGGGTCTACTTGGGTAACCAGAGTAAGGATTTAGAAGCTAGATTATTTTATTTTAACGATAATACAGCTGTCACCAAAACAAACATCCTTGCTCTTCTGAACAGTCACAGAATCACAGAATCATCTAGGTTGGAAATGACCCTGGAGATCATCTAGTCCAACCGTTTTCCTAGCACAGTTCCCACCTACAGCATATCTTTAAGCTCCAAATGAGAGTCATCCACTCATTTCATATTTAGTTCCCCCTTTCTAACTGCGTAATGCTAACCTACATATATGGAAGAGGTATGTTATCCTCCTGGAGTTTTAGGCAAGGAGCCAAAGACCAGACACAGAACTACCATAGCAAGGAAACAATTCTGACCTGACTTGGGATGTGGTCCTTTAGAGAGTAAGCCAGATGTGCTGTGACTATTTTTGCATGGTAGTATGCCCAAAGCTGAGTGCCATCTGGTACTAAGAATATTCACCCAACTAGTGTTAGATATTCGATGAAAAATTTAAGGTTCAAAATATTATGACAATATTTTTCTCATTCATTTGTAGGTTAATAATCAACAAGCTGCATTATTTTTCTCTGGTAGTATTTTGTGTCAGTTTTAAAGCTAAAAAAACCCATGTGGATAAACAGTTTGTGTTTACTTAAAAAAATTAGATGAAAATACATAATATAAGCAATTAAAATGTAGCCCTTTAACACCAGAACTCTAGCAGGGACCATCATCACAATAAATGGTCTGGAATAGATATAACCACTTCATTATTCCCCTGACACACTTCCATAATTCAGTAAACCAGATATTCTGAAGGATTTATTTCTTTCATTATGGTACCCACAAATATGATGTGAACTTTGCATCTAAAATTCTAATTTGAAGACAAAGCTTTTCCTCAAATTCATATGCTTCTTTGGATAAAGGGCCATCAATTATCAAGCATACAGAAAGTGGTTATGATAGTAATTTCATGATTGACTACCTATGCACTAGAGCTCAAGGTAATTTTGCTTTTGTATACTGAAAGCATCATCAACTAACTACTGTATGCCTGGAAATTCAAAATATCTTTGTATTACAAATCCTTTTTTGTAAAACAGTTGTATTCTAGAACAAGTATTTCTGGTATTTAAGGGTAAAAAACGCACTTTCATTAAAATCCTGGTGCTTGCACGTTGTCTTCTGTGTCCTATGGCTGCCTTTCCTTCTCTAGCTGCAAAGCCCACTTGGCAGTGTTTTATTGGTTTTAGGTACTTAAAAGTAAAAGAAACCTAGATTAGAGCTATCAAGCCCTGGAAAAGGCAAACCTTCAGTTGTTTTATTTTATTTTTAATCCATTCACAAGGGCTATGTGTAATTATACTCTTTATCAAAGAAACCTAACTCTAAATTTGGCATCAGTAATGTTTACAGTTGTGTAATGTACTGTAATAGTTTGAGATACTTTAAGAAAACCCTCCAAATACTGAGATGCTTATTGCAATTCCCTTTTAAAGATTGAAAAGCCTTCTAATGACTTTGCATTTCCTATTTTTATCTTCTTTATAGCATATAGTATTACATATTTGAAATATGCTTTCCATGTAAAATCAAACTTGAAAATACCCACTTAGAAACAATATTTCAGTAAATAGAGGGTTTAAGGCAAGTCATTCAATTGGAAAAATTAATTTCCATTTGTTAATCCTAGATTGACACAATTTTATTCCACCCCATCAGTGCCTTGGGATACACAACGTACATTCAGCAAAGGGCACACATATGACCCTATGGACATACGTTGCAAGTCCTGAGTGCCCATTGAAATAATGGTAATATCTTCATATATAAGGCGTGACCCACAGGGACATGGCATGGGAGGGGTTAATTTGTTCTGTTTCCAGTCTTGCTATTGTATGTGATTTTCCTAGGTAATGCATTCTTGTCTTACTAAACATCTTTGCAAACAAATACAAACCCCTTTAAAAGGTGCTAAAAATGGGTTTCTGAAAACATACAAAATATATTCATCATAGTATTTCCTCAATCACTGTTTCAATGCTTGATATCTGCAGGTAATTTCTTGTTTCTGACTGAAACTATTATTTGTTGTGGAATAACTGTTCTTTTGCAAAAGATTTTCTTCTTCTAGTTTTTTGGACCACACAGGCTGGACACTTTCATGCTTTTTACTTCCTTTTTGAGTTCTTTTCAGTGGAAGTATCAACAACACCAGGATGCTGGCAATATGAAGACAGAAATAGCAGGAGCTAGAAAACAAACAAAAATAAAAAACTCAGACCACTCTTTTCAGGATGCTTAAGGAATAAACTGTCAAAACCTACTTGCATACAGTACGTTGCACATAAGATAGGAAGACATTAGCACTTCTTTTAAGAAAAGTAGTAAGGGGGAATCAGAAATGAAGTCTTCCCTCACAGCACCTAGCGCTGTAAGATGTGAAAAGAAGTCAGCTTTCAACTTCTTTTCATGAGTTACTTCTGGGAAGTCATTACCTGTCTTGCTATAAAATAGTTCCAAGTGCATATAGTAATCTCCAAGTTCTTGGTGTTGGTTGGGTTTTTTTTCTCTGCCCCAGGAAAAGTAAGTTTATTATGACAGGAAACCAAGATCTCTTTATGGTTTCTCATAGACAACACAAATTATGTTCAAGCACTAGAACAGCAATACAGTTTTCTCAGCTAACAAATCAATCTTACAATTATCACTAAAATAGCTTCAGAAATTTTATACCACAGAAAAAACTTCTATGCCAAGTTAAGGAAAAAGGAAACAGGTAGAACTTGCTTACCTGTAAAAGGTGAAAGAGGGTTTTACAGAGAGCAGTACAAATGGCACAACTGTGTAACTTATTGCTAGTTGAGTTGCCATCCATGTTATAATATCATAACATAGTTTAACAGCAGGAGATTCAACAAAATAGTGTCTGATGTTGTTTCTTATCTGAAAAAGCAGATAAAATTAAGTTTAGGAATAAACTCTTGAGAGCTATCTTACTGTACAGAATTTGTTGCACAAAATTCATAGGATGAATTTAACGCTGCGGTTTGGTCAAGTATCTTTGAATTATTCAAAATGCCCATGAACTTCAAGACGAGTTAGTTCAAATTCCCTGCCTTTTAGGATAATGCATTTCATCCAGCACAGCATTTAAGTATTTATAAGTTTAAGCAAATGAATCCCTCCTAAATCCAATGCAACTTTGGCCTGCTTGTCTGAATTAGACATTATATTCCATCAGGCCATTCTGTATAATATTGAGTGGTGCAGTAAATGAAAGCCAATGTGCTTCTGCTGAAAGCTTTTATATGGCAAACTATTTTCATATACTTACTAATAAGATCTATTTTAGGACAAGTAGGGTATAAATCAGAATATACAAAATATTCATTCTAATGACATATTTCAGGAGTCAACAACTAATATGAAATGGGACTATTACAAAATGACTCAATTTTCTATGCTGAGTCTTCTTTTGTTTGTAAAATTCTTTTCAAATGATGGAATACCAAAGGTATTTAAAAAAAATTTTAAAAATCCACACAGGTTTGGGTTCAGTTTTGTCTATAATTAAAAAGACATCAGTAGACCTTCACCTCTCCTTCCTTTGACTGAACTGTCATCCTTGCTCACACTTACTTGCTGACAAGCCAAGATGGGTTCAATTCAGCCCTTGTGTAGCTTGGTATCACAGTTGCCACCTTCCAGTTATCTGCACTGAGTCTCTGAAAAGCTGCACACCAAAGTACACAGTTTCGCTTCTTCAACCTTCAGTTTCTTTAGAACTCCTGGTTCTAAAGAACATATCCAAGGCTAGCTCCTGCTGATTTCATTACATTGAAAACCTTTTTTGCCCTTCTTGTCCTTCTTACCCAAATTCCCCTGTAGATATCACATTCCCACTCAGCCTTTGTTTAGTTTAACTAAGTAATACAAGTAATGCTAGCCACATACCCTTCCTCCTGCCATCCTCCCCCAGTTTTATCCTAAGGTCACATGCAATGACTTGTTCATCAGTTCTGTAAAACCTGGATGAAATTTTACAGAATTTCTTGTAGAGAAATCTAGTATTTTAGGACTTGAATTACAACTTCTAAGTAAATCTAGAATTGCCCCTAGTAAATACCTGTTTATGACGTGTAACGATTAAAGGAAGTAAAATGAGTTGAATACATACTTAGGCATAATAAGAGAAAAAAGTGTGGATCAGAGCTGCCAAACTTTGCTATTAAAGGCTAGTAGAGTTAAATAATAAACATGCTGAAGTACCTCTAACATATCTTACCAGTTATTAGGTATCTGTTAATATGGAAACTCAAAATATTTTTATTTAATAGCCTATTGATGGATATGTATAAAATACGGTACAACTTACTAGCTAAGCTCAGGACAAAGTGCAGTGAGCGCTCCTATTTACTGGACTCACCTTACTGACAGAGCACAACTTTCACCTGGGAACTGTCCCTGAACCTTGGCTTTTGCACCAGCCCCTGGCTGATAAATGTCAAAAGTTCACTGAGATAGAGTCTGGAAAGGAGAAGGGAGCTACACCTATTGTAAACAAAGGAGTCAATTCTGACAAAGACTATACCTGCATCTGTGTGAACAAAGAGGAGGATTATCTGTTTTATTACTGTTAATAACAATCTAAATCTGAAGTACCACATTCCCTAGCTATTATCGCAACAAAGAACAGTCTGCTTCATTTCCCATTCTCCTGGTTCTTTCAACAGAAAAGTGGTCTGTTATGCTGCTCAGAGCTGACATCAAATTTCTTTGTTCCTCTTCCCCATTGAGTAATGGATAAACCTGCCTCTGTTCTTAAGCAGCTTTTCAGGCAGAACTGTGAGAGATTTCTTGGCAGATTTGCTGGTTCCATATGGTTCTGAATAGCAGCTGAAAAAGGTTTTTAATGTGACTGCACTGCTGGCTGGCCAATTTTGAATAGTAACTGCACTAGAGAATCTGCTGGTTGAAGAGGAACATTCTTTAGTTACCATCTTTACAATAGTACTGGACAGAAATTAGGGAGGGGGTGGACTATGAATATATAGCATTGACCTCAAAATTTGAAGCTACTCATCATCAGTGATTTTTTCATCAGCAGAAAGGTTTTTCAAAATGATCTTAAATAACATCATTCTGTTCAGCACGGCATAGTAACACACCATCAGTTAACAGAGAGGAACATCTTCCACAAAAGGTATACTACAAAGACATTATAGACTGTGTAAAGTCTTGATTGTTTCCACCACTCAGCCCCTCCTTGTATTTAAACATTACTACTATTCTCATAACTAAAGAAGTAAACACCACTGTCAGACAGACTGTCTATCAACTGCAAAGTGCATCTTTGGACTACAGTACATGATCAGTTTTGTTTTTAAAAACTTACTGTTGTTTAAGATACTTTGTTGGTACTTACAGCTCGTGCTGCTAGTGTCATTAGTACTCCTGTTAAAAATGTTAAATAATATCCTGGGTAAACCCCATGCCAGATGGCAGAAAGGATGAAGGTTTGGATCGTTGGGCTGAAGGTGGCTCGCTCATAGCACACTCTAGTAAGTCAAAGAGAATTCAAAATAAGTAACATGAGACAAACCACCAATCTTCCCAGTTATCATTTATGCATTTATACTTCTATCAGTTTCATCTCCAACACATAATTTGCAATGCAATTGCAGTTTAATATTACTTAATAATGTTGCTACTACATTACAACTTATAGAAAATACTTAAACCTATTCACAGCTCCTGATTTAACCCCTCAGTGCTAACCTATGCTCAGTGTCATCACATTCAGTATTTATTTATAATGATACACAAGCATCCAAAGACAGGTTTTGGTGTTAACAAGGGATCTTGAGCCATCCAAGAATGCGTCTGAAAAGCTACACTAGAAGGCACAGGCTGCCCTGCAAAGTATTGTGATGAATCATATATGCATTTTTCATAAAATGAAAGCAGCTTACAGGAGAAGGGGAAAAGTAACAACTACCTTCAGTTTTGAGTAACAGAGAGACTACAGCTGAAAATATGTCTGTGTAGAGCAATTAGGCAAGCATGATGATGAAATTATAATTATTGACTCTAGAGATGTGAGAATATCAAATAAGGAGAATACTGAACTCCGCTATTTAAAAGTTGAGACTGAATTATTAGGCAAGGTCCTACAGAAAGGAATTCTAAAAGGAAGAAGGGAAAAAGGAATCTGAGAAAGATTTTCTAGAAGACATTAAATGACACAGTGACAAACCATGATGATGTGGAAGAATGATAGGAAACATGGTAAGGTCCTGATATGGCTTCATCAAGAGGTCTTTAATGATCTGAAAACCAAAAAGCAATAGGAAATATGGAAACAGATCACACTAACATGGAGCAAAAATAAACATCACAAGCATGCATGAACAGAAATCTAAGGCTAACATACAAAAATGAGCTTCAACTAAAGTAGAAGGCCATAGACACCAATATATAAATACACAGCAAGTAACAGAGAAAGAGAAGAGAATGCATGTTTATTATTCAAGTAAGACAACAAGCTAGTGATAGAGGGCCAAAACATTCACTGCTAATGTATTTACTTTGCTGCAGCTTCCACATATACAAAAGGTTGCCAAGACCAAATGATACAGTCAGTGTTAGAGAGCAGAAGGCGAAAAGACAAGATCTGAATAGCGAAGGTTCAAAAGTGTATTTTGCTAATTTAGTTTACTTATGAGGTCTTCAGTGCAGTGTACCAGCACAACACCCTGCCCTTGCCAAAGGGCTTTGTTAACAAAGCTATTAAGATGGGAACAGGGGGTTAAGCAGGGTTCAGTTGCACACATGCATAATACACAAAACTATCTGAGGGCATTTGCCCAAAATAGACCACCTGAAAGAGGAAAGCAACATCGACCAGTCTAAAGAGTAACCAGGGAATTTCAAAGAGACTTTTGAGACAAAGAATCTGACAGCCCAGAAAGTACAAGAACATCAGGAAAATTTGTACCATGTCAGGGAGACACCTTGGAGCAAAATACCAATAATCAAAACATGGTTTGACACTGCCAGAAGTCACCCCACCAGCATCACAACCCGCTGTCTTGGCCAAGACCTCCCTGGTAGACACTGTGTAGCCTGCATGCAGCTAGGGGACTCTCAGTGCAGCACGCAATACACAGGCAGCAGTCTCTCATCCCTGTCAGCTGCTGCATGTGAACTCACGGCATGATGATCTAACCGGCATGTGAATTAGCAGGTTCACACAGAGCTGGAGCACCCACACCTCCCACAGGCAGCATGTACAAGCAGGGGGCCCACGCTTGCAGAAGGAGGTGTGTGTTTGTGTCCCACATCCTTGGGAGTGGAGGCACAGTTTGCACATAACTGTGTGCGTACATGTGTTCTTTTTAAACTCCTTGGGATTAGTCACAGAAGAGTGTTTAGAAGTGTTTATTAAACTAGAACACAAAACACACACAAAATGTTATCTGTTCTAGTACTGGTATTAATTCTGAATGTATTTTTTCACTGACTGGTGAGTAATTATGTTCCATTAATAAACTGATAAATGTCTTCAACCTTTATTTTCCCCTGCAAAGCAATCAGAAGCTAAAACTAACTAAATTAACTAACCAAATTTCAGCTATATCAATGTAAGTCAGATCAGATATATACTAGATAAAAATCATCAGTCATTAATTTAAAAAAGTAGAAAGTAAGCTTAAACTCCTCCATGGATTTGTGAATAATGAATTGCGTTGAAATGCTTCACTTGACATTCCTAATAGCAAATCAAGAAAATAATGGTCATCCGAACAAGCTGAGAAAATCTGTTCAAATAGAGGTGGTCCAAGTTATCTTATGCGCAATTTGCTCTAGAACTGGGAAGACTGATCAGTTCAGCAAGGTACTGCCTTTGGTCTGATTCTCTACTTTCATTACTAGCCTGGATGGTAGACTGAGAAGCATTTTTTCACCCTGTCTTCCCTTCCTTTTTTGGATGGAAGGTGGGATGGATGAGATCGGCATTGTTTTCTTAGCAGATAGAATGCTAGAATCCACAATGATCTTGAGAGACTTGAATAATGTTCTGAAATCAACAAGATGAAGTCCAAAGTATAGAACATTAATCAAATATGTGGAAGATAGAAAACAGTACCCATTCCTGTAACATTACTGAAAAAGCGTGTCTGAGTATGAATATGAATCAACAGTATGAAACAGCGAGTATCAGCTGAGCATGAATCAGCAGTAGATTGCTGCTGCAAAAAAGATGGATGTAATACTGTGATGTATTAGAATGTTATAAGAAAATAAAGGTAATTAATCCACTCAAATAATTTAAATCTGCCTGTAAGAAGCCAGGGAAAGATCTTGGAGGTCTTAGAAGTACTACATCCACTGTAAGAAGACAGGAAGTTTGGAAAAATGTCAGAAAAGATCAAGAAGAACCACAGAGACTTTGCAAACATGTCTAAAGACAAATGAAATTAGATGTTTTCTTTGGAAAAAAGAATGAACAGGCTGAAGGGGAACATAACAGCTTCCCTAGCCAGGAAACATTTATATTTATTGTTGATATATACTACTATGTAAATATCTATTTTAACTTGCATGCTTGAAACAATAATACTTTTAAACTGCTGTATTTTGTGATCTACATTAAATGTTTATTTAAACTTCTTATGATCTGCAGGTCCATTAACTGTTTTTACACACAATCAGGATTTAAAATCCTACAATTCTGATGGCATATATGATCTTGTCCTCCATTCAAACTGCTGTACCATTGCAACTAACCAAATGATTGGTCATATATTGTATCTTCTATACCACTATTTATGGTCCTCATGTATAATCATTAAAACAATATTTTACTTGCAAAAAACTTCAAGAAAATATCCACCGTTCTCCATTTCACTGTGGCAGAATCAATACGGATTTAGACTATCCTCAAAGTGGTTCTACAATTGTTCTTAAAAATATTTTTTGAGGAGGTACTTTAATTTTTCTTCACATCTTTTAAGGTTACTCTGAGTAACTGATTCTCATTTTTTTCTTTCAATCTTTAACAGAAATGTTACTAAGGAGTATTCCACTAAAAGGAGTTATGTAGAATAATTTCATTTAGGCGATTTGAAAGTTTGTTGGAATACCACCTTTTCCTGTTAAGTTTTAATACAGATCAACTTCTGTTCTCTAAATTAAAATGCATTTTAAAAATCACTAAATAGATTATTTGCTTTATTAAATGATATATTTCAACATCCGCAAGCATGCAATTCTTCCTTGCTGACTGTCCTAGCAATAGATTCTATTGCCTATTGAGCCAACTAGAATAACCACATAATATTCAATTTCTGTTTTTAATTGGGTCATTAAAAAATTTAGTAAAGAAATTAAGGAAGAAAGAGAATACACTACAAAGAAATTTGATAGAAGAAACATCCTGTTGCCAGCCATCATAGAATAAGATATAAAAACCTCTGAGTGACCCTAAGATAGGAGTCTCATTTAAACTTGCACCTATTGATAAAAGATCAACTAAACAAAGACCAGGAGAAGGGAAACAACACCTGCACACTACACAAGAACACTTTTAAATTTTAGCTACCACAAAAAAGTGGTAAAAGCAGAATGATATAGTTCACTGGGCACTATATCTTTCCCAGACAAGGAAAAAAGTGCATCTGTAGGATATTAATTTGCAGGTTTTGTTGATATTACATTGTAGGGTCTGTTTTTTGCCATGCACTCATTATGGAAGGAGAGCAGAAAGTTCTCTCACAGAACGTACGGAAGTTCCTGTATCAGTGTGGCTAAAAATAATGCAAAGCTTCCACAGGCTAAGAATCACATTTTGCCAGCTGCTCTCAGCAATATGCACTGCTTTGAATGCTAAGAGAAAGAAGAAACAAGGAAGGAAAAAAAAAAAAAAAAAAAAAAAAGAGATGCCTCACCTCCACAGATTAGTAGTTTTCCCTACAATCAATGAAGAAAACCAGTTTCTATCATAACCTGGTAGTTTACATTAAGGGAGAGGTCCTAAATTCAGAGACTGTAATTCAAGTATTACAGGAAGAATGTCCTGTGAAGTTGCTAAAGAACTGATGGTTTTGAGGGTTTAGCTTTAAATGTTAAATTACCTTCAAATAAATATTTATCTAAGAAACTTCAGTGAAGAAAAGCTTTCCTTTAAGAAATAAATACCTTTTAAGCCAAAGAGCTGTTTGGATATTCCAGTTATCAAGAAACATCTTGAAGCTTGTGGAAAACTGTAAAGTAAAACCAAACTAATTATTTCCATAATTGTAAAGTGTTACAAAATACTTCAAAATTTTGACATATAAATTATAAAAAAACCCCCTAGACTTTGTGATGAATTGAATAAGGTATTTACTCAGCTACTTGTAACCACAAAATATTTTGCAAGTCAACTGACAAGTAGAACATATTCAAAACAGACTATTTTCCTAAGGGTGTGAACACATCATTTCTGACTTTGAACATATTTACTATCTCGAAGAACAAAACGAGTAGGAAAAGTTACTGAAATTACAAGCAACTACCTACATGAGGGCATATTTTATTTGAAAGAGACAGAAACAAACCTCTATTTGCTGGATTCTCAGATTTGATATTAGATCCCAATGTGTAACTCCATTTTTATCATATCCTCTAAAACCAAACCCTGCTGCATTATTAATTGCATCTGCTGCAATGAGACAAAAAGAAACAAATTAATTATAAACTGCCTGTATTACAAATTGTGTACTGCACAATATGTAGTTTGTTCAAAATATTTATCACATCTTCAAGACTACACATTTTTTTTTTTTGCAAATACCAAGGATCACTATGTTACACTTGAACAAACAGAAAATAATCCAGGCAACACACCAGCTTTCAATTCAAAAACTTGTAGAAAAGCAAAAGAATGAAAGGTAGCACTATCTGCTTCACAGTACAGATGTCCCCTCTCTCTCATACCACCTACTTAGATTTGCTTTGGCAATTTAACAGAAAAACAAACTCAATGAGATGCATCAAAACTACAAAACAGTGGCTGGTTGTAATAATTTGAGACAGCAGCTCAACACTCAGATGCATGTCTTTATTCTTTGAACATTACCGTTGCTGCATAATGAAGACCAAAGATAAAATTGCACGATTCACTGCAAGCAGGTGCACATTCACAGCACCATACACAGAGCAGTGCAAACCTAACAGAAGTAAACAGTAATTTACTAAGCAATGCAGAGTTTGTCAGACTTCTAATGGCACAAGGCTGCTATTAACAACACTTCTGAATCCAAAGTGTTTACAGTGCATGTCCAAGGTCAAATAGTTCAAAGCAAACAATATTTTTCCCTAGGAGAAAAAGCTGCTACCATCATCTGGACTATGCAGGAAAATACAAGGGATGTCAGTTTGAATACTGCTTGTAACTTTCAGTCATCACCTTCACCTCAGATTTCTTAGCTCAGGCACAAAAAGTTTCCTCAGCTGTACTTCTCAAGTGAAGACAGCCATGTACAAGGAAATTCCCCCCCCATACCCCAATATTGCCTCTGTTGAGCCAGGAGCTTAGTAGCATGCACCAAAACATGGACACACATCTATGAGGCATGAACCCAACCAGGTATCCACTAACATGGATAAATAAATGGCCATGGGGAGAAGAATGCCAGCTCCTCTCCCAGTTCAGAGGTCCTGAGGAGTTGGAAGCAAGGCAGGCAAAAGGGTCTGCAGATGCAATACAGATCTAGTCCTCTAGTTACAGGGCATGAGCCCTCTGTTAGCTCAGAATTAATCTAAAGCACTGTAAATAGACTGTCACCTTTGAAATTACAACTAGCAAGGCAAGACAAATTGCTCAGTTTGTATTATCATATTAAAAAGAAATTACTTTATACAGTAGTGACATGTAAGTGAAATTTCTATCTTTTGCATTTTCCTTTCTTCTCAAAACCTTTTCAAGGCATTAATCCATCTTACTTGGGAAGTAAGGGAAACAACTGACTCACAGAATCGTCTAGGCTGGAAAAGACCTTGAAGATCATCTAGTCCAACCATTCACCTAACACTGACAGTTCTCAACTACACCAGATCCCTCAGCACTCTGTCGACCCGACTCTTGAACACCTCCAGGGATGGGGACTCCACCACCTCCCTGGGCTGCCCATTCCAACACCTAGCCACCTGTTTCTGTAAAGAAATGCTTCCTAATATCCAGTCTAAACCTTCCCTGGTGCTACTTGAGGCCATTCCCTCTTGTCCTATCGCTTGTTACTTGGTTAAAGAGACTCATCCCCAGCTCTCTGCACCCTCCTTTCAGGGAGCTGTAGAGGGCGATGAGGTCTCCCCTCAGCCTCCTCTTCTCCAGACTAAACACCCCCAGTTCCCTCAGCCGCTCCCCGTACGACCTGTGCTCCAGACCCTGCACCAGCTCCGTTGCCCTTCTCTGGACATGCTCGAGTCATTCAATGTCCTTTTTGGAGTGAGGGGCCCAAAACTGAACACAGGAATCGAGGGGCGGCCTCACCAGTGCCGAGTCCAGGGGTCAGATCCCTTCCCTGTCCCTGCTGGCCACGCTATTGCTGACACAAGCCAGGATGCCATTGGCCTTCTTGGCCCCCTGGGCACACTGCTGGCTCCTGTTCAGCCGGCTGTCAGTCAACCCCCCCAGGTCCCTCTCTGACTGGCAGCTCTCCAGCCACTCCTCCCCAAGCCTGTAGCGCTGCTGGGGGTTGCTGTGGCCCAAGAGCAGCCCCCGGCATTTGGCCTCATGGAAACTCCTCCAGTTGGCCTCAGCCCATGGCTCCAGCCTGTCCAGGTCTCTCTGCAGAGCCTCCCTGCCCTCGAGCAGATCAACACTCCCACCCAACTGGGTGTCACCTGCAAACTGAGGGTGCACTTGATCCCCTTGTCTAGATCATCAATACAGATGTTAAACAGGAGTGGCCCCAAAACCGAGCCCTGGGGGACACCACTCGTGACCGGCCGCCAACTGGATTTAACTCCATTCACCACAAATCTTTGGGCCCGAACATCCAGACAGTTGTTTACCCATTGACTCAAACAGTTGCTTTCCTGAAGTTCAGTTTCTCCAGTTGTCTACCTGTCTGGAAGAGGGCCTTGTGAAATTTAATTTAATATAGGGTCATTCATAATATTTTTATTTCCTCATCAAAAACAATTAAAAAAAATAATCTTTGAAAGCAACAAAATTCGCTGCTATATATCTGATATCACTGATGTTGACTTCAGACATTAGACAACAGTTTTATGCTCAATTAGAAACAGCTGAAGATTTGAACTCCTTAATATCTTTTTAGCCAGAATACAGACTATGGCCAGAGTAAATGCACATTAATAAATAAAATTAACTATTATTTTAGTAAGCATTCATTTTAAGTAATTCATTCTAGTAACAGATTTTTTTCTTAAGTGCAAGAAATAGCAATGTACAACTCAAAAGTATAACATCCAGTAAAACTGTTAAGGTCCCCTCACATTCTACTCATACCACTAGTTTGGTAGATGAGGTAAAGTGGAAGGAAGAAAGTAAAAAAGATATTTAGCGAACTAAAAGTAGAGAGTTGATACAATTTGTTTTCTTCAGTATTTTATTAAAGAAATGCTAGCTCTACACTGCTAGCAAGCACATGAAGAAAAATCCATCTGAAGTATTACAGGGAAAAAAAACCCAACAAAGTTTATTCATTTTTCAGATGACTCCTACTCTTTACAGACAATGATACTGGCGCATAAGAGCATAATATTCAAAATTATTTCATTCCACAAGCATCCCCAGAATTACTATATCCAGACAAGCTGAAAGCACTTCATTCATTGACCAGGAATGAAGCCAGCAGCTGTAAATGAGTCATGCTGCTCTGCTACACCAAAGCTTTCTTTACTGCATTGTTTCCCACAGATTCTCTCTCAAAAGAATTATGAAACAAATATGTAAAACTGGAAAGGAGGAGGAAGCTGATGAAATCTGTTTTGTGAGCCACTTCCAAGATGTCAGCTTACATAAATACAGCATTTTGTTGTTGTATGTATCATATTTTTTTCAAGTAATGTGAAGTGAAAAGCAAAACATTCTTTAAACTATATCATCTATTCAGTGTCTTAAATCAGTGACTATGGGCTTTATCCTGTTGGTCATTAGAACTTTTAGAAAACAAAGACTAAAACTGAAGCATCACCCATCATATCCTAAAAATTCTACCGTAAATGCCATCTACTATTAACAGCACTATGAGATACCCGATTTTCAATATATTTTTTTCCGTCATACTTGAATAACATCAAGCAAATTACTGATAACTAACCACAGAAGAGGCTTAAAATAACTTTTCAGATATGCCAAAATCAAGGTATAAAAAAAAATTAAAAAATAAAAAAAAAATCAAGGATTGTACATCAGATTAGATTTACTGAAACTTTTACAAAACAAAAACATTATTGCTCATTACAACACTATCACTCTCCAAAAAAACCTTATGTTTCACTCAGAAATGTTCAAGAGACTGTGATCTTATTTGCAGCACTGTCAATACACTGTGCTTAGACTTATGGTAAGTTTTGTTTCTCAAAAAGAGAGATGCCATTCAATATACTTTGATGGTATCTCTTAATGCTTAAATGTAATAATGTTTTTCTAAGGCCTCAAGAGGGCACTGTCACTTTTTAATACATGCTTAGGGTGCAGCATCTCAAATGGAACTCAGCACATACACTTTCTTTTATTTTTTGAATATATATACTTACCTAAAGTCCATGCAAAATAATACTTGGGTCTGGCAGCCATAAGGGACACGTATAGGTAGAAAAACCTTACAGGCCACGATGCTGTAGCTCTGAAGTTATCATCAATGTTGTATTCCACAGGCAAAGTTTTTGTAATAGTCATGTGGAAGAGTAAGGACAGTCCACAGATTAAAAGTTTCTGTGCCACGGCTATCTGAAAAGTTTAAGATGAGATACCTTGTAAGCTTCATTTTTTTGTTTATCTACTGGAAACAAAGGCAAATTATAATCTTCCTTCCCTAAACAGATGTATTTATATGTCAATTTTTCAGTAATATATACTACCAACTTTAAATTAGTTGGTAACATTTTATAGAGGCTCAAGGAATAGTGTTATCTTGATTAAGTTGTGAGCACCGCTTCTGGCAAACAGCAAATACAATCCAACTACAGTGAGCCTCTGAAAACCCTTTCAATAAGGGGAACACCTTTTGCAACTCCAGATTTTTTTCTTATTTCATCACCAAATTTCTGAAACAAGTAAATTGTTAAGACATCATAACACAAAGCATATAATCTAGGACAAGATAAGTACGATTACTGCAGAGATTCCAAGAATAATAGTAAAGCTTCAGTTCATTTTCAGTTACCTTTGGTGTAATGCAGGTGTTCAGTTTATGCCCAACTCATTATATCAATAATCTGTTAGATTATTATAATATCTAAATTCTAAACCAGCTGAGATAATTTATGAATTTTCAGCCCAACCCCCCCTCAGTTCTATATAGACCTATTTTCCCAACTAGAGTGACCAAGCTGTAAGGGATTAAAGATATGCTCACAGGCATATAAAAATACGTTGTTCGGGTAGGATGTGGATTCAGATTTTCTCAAAATTCAGTTTTGCTATAACCAATACACTAAAGAGTATGTATTTTTAGGAAAACATTTCTAAGGATCTATTATAAAACACAGAGCAATAATGCATGACATTGACTGCTTCAAGTCACTAGTCTGATCCACAACCCAAATGCAGATACGACCGTCTGCGCAAATTCCTAAAGTAACACAGTAACCAAGCACCTACAACAGAGAAGTTCGAGAGCTAGTTCATTTACACGTGATTTACAGATTTTGATTGTAAGTAATCTCAATATTTGAACTTAAATATTACAGTTTTAATTTATATTACAGTTCCCGACACTAAACTTGGCAAGAAAACAGTCAGTCTAGCTATTTTTCTTTGAAGCATCAGAACAAAGAGATAACTAGAATCCTTTTTCTATCCATTCTTCCAGTATACCCCCCCAAACTTTTAAAGATAATGTCCTGCTTCAGTTAGGGTGCAGCTTCACATGTCTAGTTCCAAAATAAGGAGTAATTCTATTCTGTGATACAGAATGAAGCAATAAGTGCCCAACTGAAAACACAGATTTCTGCAAGACATACAGAATCAAAGATTCACAGAATCACACAGATGTAAGAGGTGGTACAACCTGATTAAAAATTAGACCTGGAAAAGCTGTAAAACTGTGAGGGTAACTTTAGATATTGCATATATTTCATGTGGCTGATCTCTGAATATATTTCAGATGGGATCAGAAAACACTGCTAATTAAACAAACCATCTGGATATTTTAGGAGGCAATTACCTATTAACAGCTAAAGCTAATGTTTAATTATTTGTTTCTACTTGCTTTCTGTGGAACTTCATTTTAATATTTTACTTTATTATAAGAGTTCAAAGTAAGGGCCATTAACTTTCTAAAAGTGTTCCTTTGGGGTTTTTTTAACAACTATTAATCTCTCTCTCTCTTTGGCACCGCAGAGGAAAAGTTCAGTTGGCTTAACTTCTTCAGGAATTTAAATGAAATGTTCATAAAAATCAGTTATTATTAACACTAATGAATCTTTAATTTTGGTATGCAGTATCCGATATGGGCAAAAGTTAGATATCTGTCAATACCAAAAGGCATCACCCCAAAGTTCTGCAAACAGCTGCACGGATTTAACTTCAAAGTCTAAGCATAATTAAAAGTAATGTTCAATTTAGCATGAGAAACAGTATTTATAGGCTGGTAACATTGACATGCAACATAAAATATAAACACAAACTTATAAAATAGGTGTTTTCCATCTTAATCTCTCTACAAAGTCTCAAAATATGTTATAGCAACTTGTAAGTAATGTTATCTCTGTTTAAAGGCCTGCTTTTTGCCACTGTTTACCAGTTTTTCTATTGGTAAATAGAAATCATTACACCACCTATTCAACCTGAAATATGCTTAATACTTCTTTAAGGTTTTTAACTAAATTCTGGAGGTGAAAGACCTTCTAAAAAATAAATGGTGCAGTTTTCAATGTGCAGATGTATAAAAAAATACCATAAGAAAAAGGTGTTTTAATTTATTTATTAAGCATTTAAATGATGTCTACTTTTTTTTTTTTTTTTTTTGTCAGCAATGTTTAGGTGCAGGGACAAGCATAACTACATCCAGAAACAGCATAACTCATAAATCTCAGAACCCCAATCAATCACACTGATACCATTTACAGGTAACACTATCATGGATATTAGCGTTCCTAGCAAACAGTGATGGAGATAATCTCCTGCCTCTACAACGACTGGGAGCTGCAGTTTCATGGCTGGTGTAAGCAGAATTTCTGAAGGACAATCCAAACAGAAGCTGCAATGCAAAGGAAGAGTTCTGCCCTATCTCCTCACCTTGGCTACAAACTTTTGCTCTTTTTCCTTCTAGCAAGGCAGATTAGAGAAACAAATCCGGTGGAAAAACTAGACTTTTGGCATTTGGGCGGTGTTTGTTGCTTTTGTTTGTGAGTTGTTTGGTTGTTTTTTTTTTTTGGGGGGGGGTGGCATGGGGAAGGTGCAGTTTGGTTTGGTTTTTCAACAATTTTAGGCTGGATCAGATCTTCTGAATCAGACCACAATGCAGTGAAATGCATGTTAACACTGCTAGGATAAGCAAAGGACCCAGGACCTACCATATTCAACTTTAGTTGGCCTAAACACATTATTAAACTACAGTCTGAGGCTTGGTTACAGCACTTAAGTTTTGAACACATTTACACAGAAATGAAAGTCCTTATCTGACACCAAAATAATCTATAGTTCAATTATCTACAGAAATGCATTTGGAAAAACATTATTTCATTTCCTATTGTTTAATTAACTAGGTTATTGATATAAGCTGCTTTGCCAAGGCATAGGTGGGTAATCACTGGATTGCACATTCACAGGAGGGTTGGGCAGTTTTACACAGATGAGGTAACTAAATTTAAGTTCCAAGTTCAATTTCATTCACTCTTTAAAGTTTTCAACATATCAAAGTAACTGTTAAGGAATTAAAAGACCATAAACTGCAGGATAACTTTGACCTCATATGAAACAGAATATACAATTTATTTTACAACCAAAATCAAGAAAGGCCTGGCTCATTTAGTTTTGATGAATAAAAACTGGTCATACCTGTATAAAAATATCAAATAGGTCAACACTGGGAAGGGAAAAAGATATTTAAGCTAAACGACTGTGCCAAAACAAAACCCAACTTGCATAAATTAGATGGGGATATAATTAGGTTGAAAGCTAGACACCTAACCAGGAAAAGAAGTTCAAGAAAAGCTTTCTAATTGAAGCAATAAAGGTAAAACACTCAGTGAGCTCAGGAATTAGGATAAGCATGTGTAATATGAAAAAATATATCAAAAAGGATCTTAAAAATTTTTATTTGAATGAACTTGTTCTTGGTTAATAAAGAATCAATGAGCAGCTCAATATTATATTGAAACATATTTAAAGCATGTTATTTTGGAGAGGTTAGCACCTCAGGTAAAAATTATAGGTAATTAAGCAAGAACTTTGTAACCTGTAGGAGAAGTCTGCATAATAAGCAAGAAAGCAGGTATCTGCTGACAGGAATCATGTATTTTAAGGGTAGCCATAATAAAAAGAAACTTACAAAGACAGATATTAATGTCTGAGAGCTGACACCACTTTGAGCACCAACAACTGATAGCTTGCAAAAAGGCACAATAGGAGGGATATAAGAAATAAGTTTTAATATGTTGACTTGATTAATTTAACATGCAATGAACACAGCGAAAATACTAAACCAAGTTAACATCATGCAGTCAACACAGTATAGAGGAGGAGGCTGGCATGAACTCCTTTTGTTATGTAGTTATATTTAACAAGAAATGCAACTTACTGTATCTCAGCTGAAGGATTTTTTTTTTTTTTTTCCATTTACTACATTAACATTTGCTGATCCCCATTACATTTCTTTTTTTGTTGAGTTAGCTAAGAATTTATTCTTCTTGAAATAATAACATAAGAATCAATGAACAAATTTAGAGTATTAATATCAAGTTAATGGTATTTAAACATTTGTCTAGAACAAGACAAATAATATTTTAATTGATGCAGCAAATGCAGTAAAATGATATCATCCATATTTCTCCAAAAGCAAACAATACTCACTGGTGTTATAAAATGCAGCCAGATTTCTCTAACACCAGTTAAGAGATGAAATAATCAACAGCATAGACAGCTTGTCTTTATTTTTATGTCAAAAGCTAATGCAGCATAAATTGCAAAAAGTTTCAAGCATCTTAAGAGCAATTCATTTTTAGGAAAACTGCTTACCTGAAAGAAGAATCCATCACAGGTTTACATTTATTTCTATCAGTTTTGTTCAGATTACTAGCAACATTGTGGTAAAAAGCTATGAAGGCCTACCAGGCAGGCAGTAGATGCATGTCCAGAAGTACTGAAACTAGCAGATTTGGTTAACTCCTTTTATTTGCAATAATTTTACTACATAATATTTTTCTGTAAAATAGGATTTTAGTACATAATATGTGATGCCTTTACTGAGCCAAAACAATGTTTAAAAACAAAAGAAGTGTCTGCAACTTTGCCAATACAACTGCAGACTACAGACTATGAGGTGCCAATCTATGCAAAGGATTCTCCAGTGTTTTTTGCCCTTCCCAACTATTTGCTCCACAGCATGCTTCTATGAGTTTAGATGCTTTGTCAATGTGTGGAACAGTTTAAAATGTTACCATCCTCCAGCCGCTAGTTTACATTCCTGTGGTGCAAGTTACAACACACACACAAGACAGGTAGAATGGAACATTCGAAGAGTCCCCATCCACAACGAAAGGGTGGAAGTGATTGGAGATGACACAACAGATGGGAAGCACTCCCTGTTAGCCCAGCTGTGGGGATGGTAACCTACAGATAGTAGGACAAGACAAGCAGCTGCATGTGGGAATGCCTTTGTACGCTCCAGCAACAGTTGGTGGTCCTCAAGATAAGCAGAAAAGAAGTAACTGACACTAGAATTAGCAAAGGCCATTTTTCTGAAGTGTTCCAGACAACTCCATGATAATTCTGCTTTTTATGTGTGGAAGTAATTATCTTCAGCACACACAAATTAAAAAGTCTGATACACTCCTATTTAAGAGAATCTAAAAAGACTGAAAAGATCATATTCAGTACCCTGAATGTTGAACTAACGGGATTAAATTTAAGCAGTAACAAGCTTCGGGGGCTTTTGATTTTAGTTCAGGCCATACAGTATCTCCTATAAGGTATGATCAACTGGACTTTCTTCTATATGTATTTGGTCTCTTTTCTAATACTAGAACAAAGAAAAAAACAAGTATGTTGTATGGATTACTAGCCATAGCATTATGGCTAGTACATCTTTTACTAAACCTTCAGATCAAAATACTTCTCTACATGAATGAAAGCAAATAAAATGAATGTATTTCTATGAAGTGTTTTTCAATTTTTTCCATACAAATGCTTCCTACTTGCTGTAAAAGGACATTAAAATACAGCAGAATTTGAGAACGTTCATGAAACCTTGCTGGAACTTGTAAGTCTCATCAGCTTTCAAATAACAAAATGTGCACTTCGTCCTTACCAGAATGTTTTAAGCACAGCATATGCTTTGAAGGAAACATGCATGAACCGTTTTAATTTGAAGACAGCTTTTTACCATGTAAACTTGTTAGGAAGCTCCAATTTATTCTGCTTTTATCCACAAGATCCAGACTGAAAACCATGAAGAAAACCTGCCTAAAAAAAATAAGTGTTTAACTTTTTGAACAGGGAACTACACTGTTGATGAATTAACTCCAGATACAGCTCAGAAGTTATGCCTGTAAATGAACAGTGCAAACCAAGCCTTTCATGCAATGATTATATAAGCAGCAGCACTGCAAGAGTCATACATCTTACATTTGGAGAAGGATCCGTTTGTTCGTATTTTGTATCTTCCTTCCCATTTGCTTCAGACTGTTGCAGTTGGTATGATCTGCCTTCAATGAAAGTAATATAGTCTTTGTAAGAGCATAACGGGCCTGCCAGGATACCCATGAAATTACAGTTGTAACTTAAATACTCCAGTAGACTTGGCATGCGTCTGTAATTCAAAGACAAGCAACTCGTGAGATGGAATGTGTAGGTCTACAGAACTTCCACAGTAGGAAAAGTCATACTCCATGTTATTGCTTACTCTAACTGCGGTAAAAACCATGTGTAGAAAAGCAGTTTGTGTATCTCTTGTAATCACAGCTTAAAATATTCTACACATAGTATTTCTTTCCAATCAGTACTGAGGATTTTCAGACAGATCTCCTGAACTCTGGTGACTCCCTCTTTGCCCAGTTAGAGGTGTCTACTGAAGCTGAGCCTGGGAAAGGAGAAGGAAGGGTGTTTGCCTAAGTGCTTGTTCAACTGTTTGTCTTCTTTTTTTCCCCCTCAATAACTGAATCAGTAAACAAAGGCTTGTGTTAACTGGCAATAATTCAGTTAAGGAAAATGCCTCAAGTCAAGACTGTTTTGCCCTGAACAACACTATTTCAAGTCTCCTGAATAAAGAAAGAAGAGGTAAATACTGAAAAACAGAGTTAGACAAGCATGTTCCTTCACCAGCTACTTAATATGTGTACTAAATGTTAACTGTTCTCCTCTGTAATATGGCATTAATTTGCATAAACTGCACAGAACTTAGAATGTTTTCCTTAAATATGTATAAAACCTATTTCTAGTATTATTTTTCAGGAGAATAGATATATGAATTAAGTACAAATATAAAAAGCATGGCTCAGTTTTACGTGGGTTTGTAAACTCTTTCTTGAATGTGCACTGTAGCATTTCCATAGAGATTTAATAAAGCACACAAAATGTCAGCTTCTCCCCATCCCCAAAACTAGACCGAGATGTCTGAAAGCCTACCTTACAGCCAAGCACCTCTGTGATGGAGTTAAATCTTCATTTTTTCGAAACATTCCTAAGAAAGAGGACAGGAAAAAGGAAAAAAACTAAGGAAAAGCTAAACCCACACACATTAATTAGCAGTTTCTTTACTCAGTAGAGCCAGCATCATGCTTCAATGTAATTTAAGTCCTCAAGTAATTTCAGAGGTATTATATCACATAACATTTTTGCTGGAGTTGGATCAAAACAATTCTTACTGTTGATGATATTACAAACTTTTGTACCCTCAGTTATAGCCAACAGTGCCTAAACGTGAAATCATGGATTTCAGGAAAGCATTAAGGCAGCTTGCAGTAAGTGTTGACAAATACAACTCTCCTACATTGGTTAACTTTTCAAAGTCTTCAGGTTTTAAAACCCTTTATTCTCAGCCCTGGAAACTGGATAAGCCCCAAACCCCTTTCAACATTGCAGTAACCCAGGGACATTAATCATTGCACTTTTAATGTGTAGTATGAACACAGTCCAAGACAGATTTAAGCAATTCAAAATTTAAGGGAGACCTCAACAGCACCCTCATGCTGCAAGTAAAGATTAAAGAAGTCCAGTGAAGTAAGCACAACAGTAAAGGGTGCTCAAGTCTTTTTCATGAGCACTAAAAAGAAGCCCTAACCCCTGTGAGCAGAAGGGGGCAGGCCAAGTCTAATGTTCAGCAACAAGACTGAACTTACCTTCTTGCCATACACAGTATTGTCTGAAATGGGCTACTCCTGAACAATAGACTTCAAAATTTGTACCCCCATGAAAGAGAAATCACTTTAATTATTATAAAATACACTAATTCAGGGGCACAGAAGAAGCAGAGCTCCTTCCTTCAGACAGCCCTGGTTTATACCAGCCAGCACTGCTTGCCAAAATGATTGTTTGAGCTCCTTCTGCAGCCTCTCCACTGGTTCAGACATTAGCGCATGTATCCATTCCCTGATATTCACATTTGCAAGCTTTCTTTGCCATTGCAAGCAGTGAAAAATTTATTTTTATGAGCAGAGCTTCCTAAAGGAAATTAAGTTTATGGAATCCCACTTCTATTATCTTCCTCCCTAGCAGGGCCTAAACCCAACAGCTAATTTGTAATCATGCCTGATGAAAGAGTAGAGGTAATATAGATATGAAATCCCAATGTACTTCATGAAAATGGGTGATTCTATAGAAGATCCTCCTCCACTCACAGAAAGGTTGCCTTCAACCCCACCCATCGATGCCAGCAAATCCACAGAGGGGAGCCCTTATATTTGATCCAAGCACAAGGAAAGTTTTAACTGGAGCCATTTTTTTTTTTAGATATCAAAATCAGTCAGGCTTAAAGACAAAAAAAACCTGGGGGGTAAGGGTGAAGTCAAACTTCATTTAATTCTATGACTCATGGAAATGTTTGTTATCTAACGAGAAGATAACTCTGTTGTCTTCGTGACTCCAAGGAACTGTGACCTATACAGACTTATGACTTTAAAATTGCACTTTTAAGTCTTCAACAAAGCTGAGAATACAGAAGGGTTAGAACTTGCCACCTCCCCTCTTCCAATATAACCTGGAAAAATACCTTCCTCAGTCCTGATCCTTCACAGTAGAAAGTCACCCATATTCATACCCACTTAAGGCAAGAAACTGAAGGACAAAACATCACCCCTAACTTCATGTAGGCACTTTATTTTCCCCAGATTTCACATCTCCTCCTTGGTGCTACAGCAAAAATTTCTATGTTGATAACTGTACTGAATAAAAAAAATACGGGAGCATTTTGAAAAGTCCTTTAACTGTTAAGGCTATAAGATTACAGTTCTCAGGTAGTGAATCTATTTAACACAAATTTAAACAAAAATTTAACAGAAAGTCTCCTACAGATAGATGTAGATCACACAACATGACTTGTTGTGTCTCTCACAGTGTACACAATGCAAACTGACTGGAGCAGGAGCCTCCTTCACTATTAAATTCCACATGACTATTTTAAGTTAGAAGGAGGAAGCAGTCACCTAATGTGTCTAAATGAACTTGCATAAAGACAGATTGACCACTATATAAAGGTAAATAGTCAAATGAAAGATTTCACATCATTTTGAAAAAGGAGGAAAAAACCTCAAACGTGAAATAGAAGAATCTAGCAAATGAAATATGACCTATATTTTTGGAGGGATGAGGAAGAAAGAACTGGCATATTTGAAATGGGTTTAAGGTTATATACATACATAAAAAGTTACTCAAGGCCTAAAAATCTGGTGAGCAATACACTTGCTGTCTCAGAGATAACAGCACAGAAGTAAGCATCCATCAATTCTTCCTTTTCCTATCTCACTAAGATTTCCTTCTTAGGCAGCAGCTGCTTTGAGGTCAGTTCAGTGGCTTTCTTTATATATAT